TAGCTTCATGTAAAGTACATGTGAGTCATATACTTTGTGACAAATTGGTGGTGTGCAAAACACACCAACCTCTTTCACTACGGTTCATATCTAGGGAATGACCTCTGTGGTGTAATTTACCCAGTGTGGATAGATAGAAAGAAGAATGCAGATTATCGAAGAAATAAACACAACAGCCCCCTTTTCAATGAACAAATATAAAATTTAATCAGTTTATCAACAGAATTTAAAATGAAAAGAAATCAATGACTTGGTTACAAAAGAAGGAAAATGGTACTAACATGTACTCAAATAAAAAGACAATACAAATTTCTTTAAATATAAAATTACTTTTAACGTTACTATACTATTTTCATTGCCAATGAGATGTGACCTTTGAGTGCAAGGATGAGAGACTTCATCAGCTATTTTATGCAGACATCAAGACTTCCATTTGTTCCTGCTCTGTCAATCTTTGTTTAGCTGTTTGTCTCTGGGCTTAGATTTCTGCTAGAATTTGTTCTGTGATTGTTCAGGGATTTTTCATGTGAATCCAGGAAAGCTGTTTCCTTCAATAAATAAAATGTCTCACAATAGACAATAGGTCACATTCCCAAGTATATCTGTATTTTTCATTAATTGTGCTCAGAAAACAAAAGGCATAAATTCTGCCCAATGAAAGTTACCTCTCTGTTTACATAGTCGGTCAATGCTTGTCCTGACCTTCATTCGGTCACATTAGGGATGGTCAATTAAAAATAAATTTAACTCACGTATGAACCTTATGTAAACCCCCCTTGACTTCTTACTCATAAGGCTTAGACCTCCAGATCTAACTATTCTAAAATAGTTTACTCGACCAATTAAATATTACAAACTAGCATATAGATATACACTTAAGTGATCAATTAAATATTACACTAGTATATGGTATACATGTAATGTTAGGTCATACTCATTCTAAACAGAGTTAATCCATAAACTATGAAACATTACCCATCATTCCTTAAGCTTAATTCATTTAAATTCATAATCACTCCTATGTATTCAAGATTCAATTACATGCAATCTTTTCAACTAATCTAATGAAATTTTAATTACATTAAATCTTGCCAATTCTCCAAATGAATTGATAATTAGAAAATCAAAGAATAAAATGTCATGACTAGCATTTCACTAAACTCCTGCAAAATGAAATCATACATACATACATCATATCAAGAATACATTTGAAATAGATCAAGAAATGAAATAACATATTAAAATCGGGAAACTAAGATTGCGTACCTTTTGCCGTTTCTTTATTCGTTTCCACGAACCTCACGTATAGTCCGTCTCCTAACTGAGACGACTATCTGGCCCCTTACTCTATAATGAAAACGTATTTTTACGAATTCAGAATGTCGAGTTTGCCTACTCGCTGAGACAAAACTCGCGCTTTACTGCCAAATCACGAGATAACGTCTTACACGCTCTTCCCGGAATCGTTTAACTTTCCTCGCGAAAGATTAAAGACTAAAGAATTTTCCTAAAGTAAAACCTTTAATTTCGTACAGAGTTACGCCCATAAATCCATATTAACCAATCGGAATAGACTGTTTCCTAAACCTGTTCGTAGAATTTTTGGATTGACAAGAAAACTAAACAACTAATCATGCCGTAATTAATCATTACTTTGAACAATCATCTATAGCCAGCTACCGCCCTTTACCCGGTCGATTTTGGAAAAGGGTCTCGTGTCATTCTCTTGTACCATAGCATCTGACTCGGTCATGTTAGGTCGGCTAGAACGAATTCCCTTTTGACGTTCAGAGATGAAATGAAAATAATCATCTAACTATCTCTAGCCCTTTCTACTTTAATTAAGTTGACTTTGATACAATTCCTTTAACCAAAGCTTCTAAGAGTTTTCAAAATTCGACACATCACATACTTATAGCTCAGTGGCTTATTATCGCCTGCAGCGTATAGTACCTATTAGAACCTAAAAGATGCATAAATTAAATTTCACATACCTTTAAATGATGATTATTCCTTTTGCTTCCTATTTACTAAACTATCCTTGCACGGTCAAGAAGTTTTTGAAGAGATACAAGTTGAAATGTTGTACCCCTAGAAATGAGACCCGAGTTCGATACCGACATGAGTGTTATGGTACCGTCACTCATAACCACACACAAGTCCGTGTCATTCACACAACATACTCGCCAGGGATATGACTCCAGTTCGTCTGTTGAAGACAGCAACATGCCGTCATGGCTTCTGTACACACGGACTTTTTTAGACCCAGTGTCTGTCATCACCAGCTTGTCTCCCACCACAACGATATCCGTAATGTGAAGGTAGTCTGTAAATAAAATGATATAATGATCAATAATGACATTTACAATTATATAAAAAAAAACAGAACTTATGGACATCATCATATATTAAATTTATGATTTTATATATTAGTTTGCTGTCATAATTATTCACCGCCACCACAACCAGGAAAATACACAAATAATGCACAACCATCGTTCTCTTGTTTTTGTTATATTATTATTATTATTATTATTATTATTATTATTATTATTATTATTATTATTAAATAGATATAAAACCTCAAAAATGTCACAAAATAACAAAATTAGTTAACCAGGACTATACACAAAATACCATATGATAGTAGTAGACTAGTTTTATAGTTGCAGTATTATAATTATTATTGAGGGATTAAACAAGACATCACATGGAACCAGTAAGCACATTATTATAGTTATGTACAGTATTTTAGTACCTTACGTTTACTTTGATATTAGTACTAATTAAAACAATTCTGTACAGTCATGAATTATTATAGTGTGCTAACTGGTTTTATGTGGAAACTTGTTTTTCCTCTGTCATTTTGAAGAGATAAACAAAGACTAAAACTTGGGTCATCAATAGTCCTATAATTTAATTTCAAAGTAAATTAAGTCATATCTCGATATACGCATTCGCTCATATATATATATATATATATATATATATATATATATATATATATATATATATATATATATATATATATATATATATATATATATATATATATATATATATATATATATATATAAAACTGACCCCGGGTTTATCCCAATACTCACCACCACCTTTTGATTTCATGTCATAAACTGGAACCAACTGAGATTATAAATTAATATACATACACTACTGAGATAGACTGAATAACCATAGATACACTATTCATATGGACTGAATAACCATAAATACACTATTCAGATGGAATGGATAACCACAGATACACTACTCATAGGGACTGGCTAACTACAGATACACTACTCGTATGGACTGAATAACTATCAGACAGACTGAAAGAGCATACACAACTGAGATGAACTGAATAACCAGTATGGGATTTATGTATAAGCTAAACAAGCTACAGCTTAGGGTCCCAACGTCTGAACTCATCCTGAAAGAACCCCTCAAATTTATTTTATACCAAATATGGCCTCTATAGCTTCCCATAGTTTAGGGCCCCCGGTATGTCTAAATCCAGCATTGTGAATAACCATACTAGTAGATACATTACTCAGTTGGACTTTATAAACATAGACACACTAACCAATTTAGACTCTAAAATCGGTTGTACAAAAAACGATAAGCTTAGCCTCACAAAGACTACATATCTGTTTTGCGAGAGTGGAACTGACCTGCCATTCATGGGATGTTATTTTTTTTTTATTTTATCTAAAGATAATTGTTCTCAACGTCATGGATACAATAGTCACATTTTAGTTTTGGTTTGTCTTTTTTACTATCAAGCTGGGCAGGATTTTTTATAAAGCTATTTGAGTCAATTTTTTGCCCACCCAATGCCCATAAATAATAAAAAAAATTGTACACTAACTACATAGAAAAAAGGGCTTTATCATCAATCAAATCAAATTACCCTTGACTACTTTACAAAATGGTCATCACTACAGTGAAAGGTAGAGGAAGATTAAATTTTTAATCTGCAGAATTTATTGCATAAAAATAAAGCAAATGTAACTTTCCTTAATTTGTTTAAAAGTTTTCTTTAGAAATTTAAGCGCTGAGCATAAAAATTATATGAGGGGTCTATAAAACAAGATTAATATATGAAAAATAAATAAACTTTACTGTAAAGATAAAAGATACACAAGATGATATTTATCTAATACCTCCCTGTCACACTGAACCTTTCAACACCCTAAATGTGCTGTTTTCCTGAATATTTCCTCCTCTCTCCATTGTGTCGTCTGCTGCTCTCGGTGTCTTACCTCCCTTGTGTTCTGACGTTGACACTGACAGAATGCTGGTGATCAAATTCCACAAAATTGTACAATCTGATAACGACGTCACACTCATTATGACGTCACAATTTAGCGCGTTTGATACTGGTGATTAAAATTTAATCTACACGATTGATTTTCATGTAACATGAGCCGGATAACATCGACTTGTCTCTATTTAAATACGCGGAGCTGATGTATATGGAGGGTTCGATGACCCAGGACTGAAACAATCTTACGGCAGCGACATAATATACAATAAATTTAAAGTGTTATGAAATTGCATGATTCATTGTATGTGTGTGTGTGTGTGTATGTGTGAGAGAGAGAGAGAGAGAGAGAGAGAGAGAGAGAGAGAGAGAGATTTCTGACATTCAAGTGTATTTAGTAAACAGATCTTTTTGCAGAAACGCTGCATTGTACACATTTTTGCATGCCCTCTTTCAAATAAAAATACAAATCAACATTCATATCCGTAATTATAGTGATGTGATGTGATTATGATTTTTAACGGAGCTTTAACACAAAAAAAAATCAGTCATATCGCTACGATGTCTGCAGTGTGGAAGTTTATAGTGATTTCTAGCACTGGGGCATCATGACGCAGACATGTGGCATGATGTCCAACCCAGTCATATTATTCTGACACCATGCCGACTGGGCCTACCTCTTAATGCTGAGCGTCAAGCGAGGCAGCTATTAGTACTATTCGACGTAAGTCTTTGCTATGACACGACTGGGGATCCAACCCACCACCTCCCGCAGCCGAGGCGGACGCTCTAACCACAAGGCCACCGAAGCGGTTCCCGAAATTATAGCATTACCAAGTTAATTTACACGAAATTTAGTGTTTTTCACAACCTTATTTATTTATTTTTTGTTGTGAGACGGTTTTGATTAAGATACAGTGCAAGAAATAACTAACTTGTTTTCATCTAACAACTGATATATTAGTCATTATTATTTATATTCATTGAAAATCTACTTTGTCAACTCTTACTCATAAGGCACATTTCAATCGTCAGCCTAACATCATGGATGACTTTCTTTTAAAATCCCAGAATATGTTTCTTTAAATTTGATTTCAACCAACGAGTAGCTTTTTGTATGTATCTATGGATGGTTATATATATATATATATATATATATATATATATATATATATATATATATATATATATATATATGTATGTATATTGGTGCAAACTGAAAACGCTTATACTATTAGAGCAAGCGATGCTTGCCATTGTCGAAAATAATCGTGAAGAATATTAGAAAATAGAAGAAAGGATTGCAGCTCAAACGGTTGAGACTCAGCAAATTAGTCAATGAGCGAAATTTTCAGCAGGCGATTTCACTTGCTATACTGATTTCACAGCATATTTTAATGGAATTTATCAATCAAATTGAACGATCGTATCTATAGATTACATATGTTATTCCAGAACGCCAAGGAATCCGCAACATTGTTTATGTATTTTATAGCAATACGTAAACATCGTGACCTATATATTGCGCTACATACCCCAGTTGTCCAGATGACATTCAAGACGTATCAATTAATTCTAGTTTAATGAAAGCATCACGAATAAACATTAAACAGTTACTTGGTTTACAATAGATCATACCGCATTATGCCACACATTTTAGATATCTTCCTAAATTAAAATATTAGTTGTCTCATGTATGAGATAATATATTGGGAAGTCATAATTCACATCCTATTAATAAGGAGTATCACTTCAATATTATGAACACGTCGTTCTATTGAGCGCATGATCCTAGGTCAATGACATTTAACTGACATACAATTGTTCAGATAAATTAATAGAAGTTACTGACTTCACCGATTAACCTAGCGCTTACACAGCAATTTTAATTATGTTCTGCTGACGTTATTTAAAATGAAATAGAAATAATAATAAAATAATAACAAAAAGAGTAAACTAACGTATAACAAAATATAAAAAACAAGAACTGCATGCTGATATTAAATCGTCTAACGTAACTAGTTATACAGTAAGTCATGTAGAATTAAAAAAACAACAAAATAAATAATAATATAAAAGAAACATTTTTTTCATTGCAGATTCTCACTATTGTGCTTGAATTTGATTGAATGTGTCAAATGTGTTTTCGTAAGATTGCCTTGAATAAACTTCTTCTTTACCATACTGACGTCACATTACGTATTATCCTGTCACATTGCATATTTTAATGTTTTCTTAATACATTGTTTTTCTTCATTACCCCTCGAGGTACTACACGGTAAATTGTTGTCTTTTCCTATTTCTTAACTTTTTCAGTGCATTTTTTTTGGTCTTTTTAATATTTTTACTTCCTTGTGTCATTGTAATCTCTTTATCAATTTATATTGGCTCCTTATTACACATTTTATGGTACATTTTTCTATGTATCTTTTATCATGTCTATTCTGGTGCATTGTCAATGTACCTTACAGTTTATTAATTATTATACATTTTATTGTAATCTTTTTTGAATTTCACAATATGTACTGCAATGAACATTGTTCTCATTGCCTTTTTGCAATTTATCAACTTACCAATGCATTGTAATTTTTTAATCTACCTAAGCATTGTAATTTTTGATTTTTAATATTTTTCTTTCCTCTTCCTCGTATACTTATCATTTTTTTACTAGCCTCGAGGAAGCGGCTAAATTAACAAGGAGGTATTATCAAGATCTCGATTTTAAATAAAGAAACGATAACAGTAACTTGTATAGAATATATTGCAATTTATAAGTTATTGAAAGGCAAACCCTCTAAATTTAAGAGAGTGCTATGATATTGATTTGGACTGTAAGAGAAGCATGGCCCAATCAACAATTCATATCCTGAAGATAATAGGACATTGAAATGAATTTAGATTAAACATTATGATTGTTTCCTTAACTTGACTTGATAATGGAAAAAACCTAATTAATAGCCGAGTTCGATAGTTCAACAACATATAAAAGCCGCGAGTGGCATGCTATCTCGCGGTTCGGTCAATAAAACCTTATTAAATTTCGTTTTGATGCTGGGAACTAAGTAATTGATAATCAAGGAAATTAGTTTGAGAGTTCATAATGTGAATGACCGCTTACTTAGGAAAAATACTGACCACACACTCACACTCTATCCCCCCTAAACTTGATATATAGTTAAAGTTGTCCTTGACTAGCACGCAAGAAACACGCGTGACGTTTTAGATGCACTAGACAGACCTCTTTTGACCTTGAATGAAAACACTCATGATCAAGCAGCTTCCAGAATATAATAAAGGCTTTGAGCTGCTTTGGTCTCAGTGCGATTTCAGGATCAGAGAGTGTCGTGTCCATTTCTTACAGGTAAGAAAATTATGCTTTATACTCGCTCTTAAAAGTTAAAGATTTTATAGTCAGTTGTAATATCCTTCTGAATTATTTTTATTTCATCAATATATAGTAATAGTGAGTTTTCATTTCTAATATGAAATAATCTACTGATTTAATATTTTACTGAATTGATGTTCATTGTATTTATAATGTAATATTATTGAGTTCCCTTCTTCCAGAATCATAATGTAATGAAATATTTTACAGCTTCGATGTTCATTAGTATTTGTTTGAAATAATTACTAGCTTCATGTTATAATCTAATTGAGAATTAATATGTATTCTTTAAACAATAGGTATAACACTCACAGATCTTTTTCCGGTCATTACCTTACATTAAGTAAAATAAAATACATTTATTACAGTTATTGAATTTTAGGCTCTTTGAATATTTAAATCACTTGTATTCAAAAATGCAGAAAAATGAATGGACAAATGAAATAGCAGATTGTGGAAGAACTATTTAATAAGTATTGTAATATGTATTGTATGTAGTTTCAACATAAATAAACTTACATGTTTTATCTTTAGAATATATATATATATATATATATATATATATATATATATATATATATATATATATATATATATATATATATATATATATATATATATATATATATATATATATATATATATATATATATATATATATATATATATATATATATATATATATATATATATATATATATATATATATATATATATATATATATATATATATATATATATCTATATATATATATATATATATATATATATATATATATATATATATATATATATATATATATATATATATATATATATATATATTGCGATTTCAGGATCAGAGAGTGTCGTGTCTATTTCTTACAGATTCTTGGTACCTTCTCGTAGCCAAAACTTTCCCACAAAAAGATGTAACTGTATCTACACCATCATAAGTGACACCTTATTCTTAAGAATGCCGAACTCTCTTCCTTCTCGTAACTAGGCACGAGAAGAAAGTTATGATGGAAAAAGTTTAAACAACAATACAGACCTTTCACATCATGATAGATAGATAGATAGATAGATAGATAGATAGATAGATAGATAGATAGATAGATAGATAGATAGATAGATAGATAGATAGATAGATAGATAGATAGGTAGGTAGGTAGGTAGGTAGGTAGGTAGGTAGGTAGGTAGGTAGGTAGAGATAGATAGATAGATAGATAGATAGATAGATAGATAGATAGATAGATAGATAGATAGATAGATAGATAGATAGATAGATAGATAGATAGATAGATAGATAGATAGATAGATAGATAGATAGATAGATAGATAGATAGATAGATAGATAGATAGATAGATAGATAGATAGATAGATAGATAGATAGATAGATAGTCGTTCCAGATTCCTACGAAAGAATTCAAGGTATATGGGCTGGTGCGTGTATGCAACGTCATGGGTGCCATTAACTCGCGGATGTATATATACTGTCTTTATGGAAAGCCATATATAAAACGGACAAGACGACTAAATAAAACAGAAAACAGTATTTTCAAAATTATACATAGCTGTTACAAGTGATTTGTATTCTATATATCAAGTCACAAGCTGAGGTGTCTTGCAGCTGTACCATATGATAGGGGTACTATGAACAAGAGAATGGGGATAAGCTTATTTTATTTCGACAATTCTGCTTTAAAATATACGGATCTGTATTATATTGCTACAGGTTGGAGAGAACATAATCTTCAAGGTTTTGTACACAGAAAAAATCGGGGAATATTTCTATTTGGTATGTATATTTCACCCATCTTAACAATTCAAACACCTTGTATTTAGCCGTGCATCTGGCATGGTCTTTTCCAAGTCACAATTTCTGAATTGTACTTTCTGTATTCTTACATATTGATGTGTGAATAGTCTTTATTCGGAAGTCACGTGATATCTCTTACGTTGGATTACCCTTATATAAATGTTTTCGTGAATACTGCTAAATTACAGCAACTAACCAGTTTTCAGTCTCAGAAGCCATTTTTAAAATAACAAATGTGTTTGCTTTTATCTCCTGATCCTTCAAATATATATTCATACCACAGAAGCTCTCATTGTTCGGTCAATTTTTAAGGAGTCCTGATGCTGCAGACTAAAATGTTAATGTTAAAATCTCAATGCAAAATTTGTTCCATTTCATAGACATGTATAGTGTTTTAAAATATTTATAAAAATTAAAACCGAATGTAAGTTTAGAAAATAAACTACTTTTATTAAAATGATTCGTATCATTATTATTGACATAACAAATGTTAAATAACATGTCAAGTTATTGGTCAAAATTCTTCTACCATCTGGTAGTTTCGTGGCTGTAAAACGTAATTCTGTATCTTGAATGAGACATCCGGGTACCATCAAAGCAAATGTTAACCTGAATTAACAATAA